CAAGGCTGTGGCAACAGGTGCCTGTCCAAACCACTTTCCTCTGCTTTGCCTCAGAGTATTTTTCTCAGTGGCCTAACAAAGCCACTGGCCAAGCTCTCTTGACCTCTTGGAACCTTCCTTCGGGCAGTGCATGGTGTGTTGCGTGATGCACCGGGGTGGTCCCTGGGATAGGAGCCGGGAAGGGTGCAGCTGCTTTCGCTCTGCCCATTCCCTTCTGCAGTTGCCACTTTTGCTCTGGGCATGGCCACTTGCAGAATCCTTAGCTAACCCCTCACCCCGACCCACAGTGCGTCATCTTGTGCTCACACTCTGAAGCTGACAATGGCCACTCGTCTTCTTGTAGACTGAGTCCAGAAAGTTGTCCTCTAAAACAAGACGTGACAAAGAGAAGCCTGGATGCAAGAGCTGTGGTGAGACCTTCAACTCCATCACCAAGCGGAAGCATCGCTGCAAGCTGTGTGGAGAGGTGAGCATGGGGCAAGGGCGGGGGAGTGGATTAGACGGAGGCCAGATTGCTACTCACAGAGTCTTCACAGGTTCTAAGGGTGGGCAGCAGCCACTGTTAGCGGGTGGCATGTGCTTCTTGAGAGTCGTCATGTGCATAGCTGGGGGGCTCCGTGAGCCACATGGCAGCCCGGCAAGGCTGCCTCCTCCAGATCCTGTATTAGTTACTTTTCTCATTTCTGTGACGTGTGATACCTGAGGGAAACCGACTTAACGGAAGAAAGCTTTACTGTAGCTCACAGTCTGGGGGTACACAATCCATTATTGTGGGGAAGGCATGGCAATCAGGGGTATGAAGTATCTGGGTCATGTTGTATCTGCAAGTCAGGAAGCAGGAAGTGAACAGGAAGTGGGGGTGGGCAGTCATACAGTAGGCCCTACCCCTAGTGACTTACTTCCGCTAACAGTGTTTTCTAAAATCTTCCAAAACCATACCAGACACCCGGTGTTCTCACATGAACCTGTGGGGGACATTTCACCTTTAAACCAGCACACTGTCCCCTACATATAGATGTGTATGAGTGTGACCCTCTGATGTAGAAGCTGGTTTCTGGGCAGCTCTGATGTATGACAACATTCCTTCCAGCTGGGAGTTGAGTAAAATGTAGCGTTTCTGTCCTGCAATAGAGAGGTGACAATGCTGTCCTATTAAGGTGTTGAGGAGGCAGGAGAAAGTGAAGAGCTTGGTCATAGTGGGAGTGAGCCAATGGTGAGCAAGGTCTGATGGGATCATGCCATAAGGGGCCACCACTGACTGGTGTCTCCCGAATATACTATCTCCAGTCTTCCTCACTCCACCCCTAAGTCCGTGCTCCTGGGAATGAGCAACTGAGTCATTACTTCAAAGTATCCTTGAAGAAGGAACTAATGATTTAAGTATGTTTAGACTTAGATATCCAAGTTGCATATGGAGGAGGGATTGAAGTGAGGAGAGAGAGAGAGAAAAAGAGAGAGAGAGCTGTGTCTCACCCAGACTTACTTGAAGTTATTCATTCAAAGGATGTGAAGACTGGTGTTCTCTGATTACACATTTTCATAAAATTGTACCATGCTGGCTGGGGTGGGGGAGAGGGAAGAATAAAAAAATGAATTTTTGGATGGATGATGATGATAGATAGATAGACAGACAGATAGATAGATGATTGATAGATAGACAGACAGATAGATAGATGATTGATAGATAGATAGATGATTGATAGATAGATGGTAGATATATAGATAGATGATAGATAGATAGATGGTAGATAGATAGATAGATAGATAGATAGATAGATAGATAGATAGATAGATAGATGGGCAGGTGATGGGTGTACAGTGGATGGTGCATAGATAAATATCTAAACAATGGGATGGTAGATTGATGGATAGATGGTAGATGGTTGTTCAGTGCATAGATAGACAGATATGGATGGGGGTTGATGAGTGGGTGGTAAATGCATGACAGATGGAGAGGAGGCTGGATGGGTGAATGGATGAATACAAGAGGAATTTGGAGAGCACAGAAAGCCTGCAGGCTGGGGCTCCAAGTGCATGGGCTTAAAGACGTCACCAAGACTAGGAGGTTCCTAGCAGAGTTGCAGTGGGTTGCAGTGATTGCAACTGAGGTAGGAGCACCTGGAAGACAATTGGAATCTGTGGTCTCTATTAAGAGAGGAATGGGCTGTACAGTAGAGATCTGTGAGTTCTCTACAGGGTGACTTCCAGGACAGCCAGGGCAATGTAAAGAAACCCCATCAAAAAAAAAAAAAAAAAAAAAAAAAAAAAAAAGGAATGGAAGAGGTGTGAGGGTGAGGGCTGCTTTACCCAGGCCTGGGCTGCAGTTGAAGTGAGGAAAGATCCTAGGCTGGCTGGCTAGTGAGCTCAGATCACCTGTCCATCTCTGTCTTCCCAGCACTTGGACTGTAGAGGCAAGTCACTACACCCAGCTTCTACACGGACCCTGGGGATCTGAACTCAGGTCCTCATGCTTGAACAGGAAGCACTTTACCAACTGAGCTATACCCCATGGCTTTGATTTTTTCTTTCTTTCTTTCTTTTTTCTTTTTCTTTTTCTTTTTTTTTTTTTTTTATTTATTTATTTTTAAAAACAGGGTTTCCCTGTGGCTTTGGAGCCTGTCCTGGAACTAGCTCTTGAAGACCAGGCTGGCCTCGAACTCACAGAGATCCGCCTGCCTCTGCCTCCTGAGTGCTGGGATTAAAGGCGTGCACCACCATCGCCCGGCTGGCTTTGATTTTCTTAATGGTAGTGTCCTGGGTCTTCTTATGTGAGTGGGCCATGTTCTTCTTATACACAGGGTTTCTGAACTCTGGATGGTCCTGGTAAGGCAAGCAGGTCCGACTAAAGTCACTCTCTGCCTTTAGATGTGGCTTCCAACATCCCAGGTCAAGCTTCGCCTCTTCCTCTCCCTCTACAGGTTTTTCCTCTTCATCTGCTCAGGATGCATGCATGGTCAAGGGCATTCTTCTCTTGCAGGTCATCTGTCGAAAGTGCTCAGAGTTCAAGGCTGAGAACAGTAAGCAGAACCGTGTCTGCCGAGAGTGTTTCCTGGAAGAGCCCTTGGTCCCTGCGAACCCTAATTCTGAGACTCCCACTGAGCTCAAAGAGAGTGCAGAGGTGGGTGTCCCTGGTTCCTGGGGCTAGGACAGATGAAGGGGACAGCCCAATGTGGCCCACAGGTCTGGAATCAGGGAAAGATACTTGGAGCATGTGTGTGTCTGAAGACTTCTCAGGACTAGTCAGGTCTAGAGCCTGGGAACCACGTGTAACCTAGGAGTTAGATAGAAACGTGTCAGCTCCACTCTGGGCTGACTGGAGGTGCAGCATCAAACTGCCCCTAATTCTAGGCATTGAGGTTCATGGAGCCCCTCCTTCAGCTTGGGGCAGGCGGAACCCCAGATGTGTGTGTGTATGATAGTGGTTAATGATGGGGTGTAGGGTTAGGTTTGGGGGTGTCAGCTCCTCTCCATTACCACCTCTTCTTCCTGAGTGTGGCCGCTATTTTTCCAGCCTTCTTTCTTTAAAGGCCCAGTCCCTTTTATGGAGTAGCAGGACATCCCTGAAAAGGAAGCCTCTGTTTTCCAGGAAAACCACATTCTCCTTTGTCCTCACTTGATTCGGTGCTGTTGTGGTCTCCTGGGAGTTCTCTCAGATGTCAGTCTCCCTCCCAAAGATGGCGTGGGATGGTCCAAGAAGGCTAGGGTCAGCAACTGTCAAAGCTCCTAACTCCCTGGATGGTAAATCTATCTGGGAAGTCAAGGACAAAAGGCTGTTAAGGACTGAGGCTGCAGTGGCCTTGTCGGTGAGGCTCTGGCCCCATCCTACTGATATGCCTGCACTCTGCACTCTCCATCTGGAGATGCATTCTGGGAGTCCTGAGGATGTGGTCTAAGACCTTGGAGGGTGCACCGAGTCCTGGGAAAACCATTTCCCAGCAAGAGGTGTCAGAATCATGTTCATGTGGCTCAGGAGTCTTGTTTCCGTGATAGCCTGCAACATGTCAGAAGGGAAGCAGGGTCTACAGGAGGCGTACATGAGGTGTGTGTGTACACATATGTGATGTGGAAAGTGTGTGTTTTTGTGTGGTGAGTAGAAGGTGGAAGGTATAATGTATGTGGCCCCTTCACCTCGTGACCCACACTCTTGTACTTACTATTGAGTTTATAAACACATAGCACCATACCTGGCTTCCCCTTGATACTTCAATGTCTTAACCTGGAATGGTCTCATTCTCCCAAGAGTGCCCAGCTCCAAACACTACTTGAGACCACATGACCTCCCACTGGCCTCCAGTGACCCTTAGACCCATATAAAGCTGGCCTCAACCTATATCCAGGCCTTAGCTATATCTCTGTGGTCATTTCCTTCCATGGGCCCTGGGCCAGCCCAGGCTCCTCAGGTGACAGAGATCACTACAGGTGAGGCTACCCCCAACCCTATTTATTGTTCTGTCTCCAGAAGCCTCCATCTGTGCATCCTCGGCTCTGCAGCACCCTGCGTCTGTCCGACAATGGGACAGCCTGGAGTGACGTGTGGGCAGACATCCGTGAGTCAGATCCCCAGGTGCTGGACCTGCTGGAAGGCAGCCAGGTATGTGTCCCTGTCCCTCTTCATGTCCAGGCCTATGTACTATGAGATGTACTCTGCTACCACAGTGCAGAGCCTCAAGCCTGAAGTGCCCATAGCATGTCTGGGCCACTTGGACCACTCTAGTCATAGAACCTGGGCCCACACTTCTCCCAATGCCCAGCATAACTCTCTGCTCCCCTCTCATGGAAGACGGGTCTCTGTAATGTCACAGTGGGAGCCGGATAGTCAAAGGACACAGAGGCTGGACCCTCCTCTCCACACATACTCACTCTTCGTTCATTCATATATCTTGGGCAGATGCATCTGGGCACTCTGAGCCTTGCCCGGCTACTCTTAACTCCCGTTGCTAAGTTATAAGAGTTATCCTGCCTCACCTACCCTGGGACAGGGGTTCTGAGGGAAGCCATGGGTCTGGGGAGGTCTGCTGAAGCAGACAAAAGCTCCTCCCAGGAACTACCCGAAAGCCTGTCGGGCAGCCTGTCTGCAATTGTCCTGGTGACCGGCTGCACTATGTGGGCCTGGGCATGGTGACCTGCTTGTGTGGCCACTGGCATGAGCTGGAGGCCCCACTGACCCCCTGTCTCTCCTGCAGGCTGGCAGACTGCTGTATTCCATCTCTCTCTCTGGCTGTACTATAACGGTGCCCGACCCTCAGGAGGGGCTGGAGACAGGATGTGTGTGGAAGCTACATCAGGGTCCACGGACCTGGTGGCTGAGCGCCCCCTCCGCAAAGCTGCGGCAGAGTTGGCTGGAAGCTCTGGGCACTGCTGCCTGTGGGGACACAACCGGAGACAGACCTGGTGCCGCGCAGCCCCAAGCCTCAGCAAGCACTGACACTCCATGAGCAGAGCCTCCTGCTGGCCTTTCCACTATTCTGCTAGCCTGTGTTCTTTTTGAGTGACTGTAGATGTCACATGAAGCAATTAAGAACTCCTGGGACCACCGAGGATGGACTGATGGCCCAGAGAAGCGTAGCAGTGGGCCCAAGATCACGCAACAGGTCTTAGACAAGAGTTAGGCTTCTGGCTCCCGCCCCAGCATTGTGGTCAGAGCAGGGGAGAACAGCCACTACCAACTATCAAATGTCATCTGAGTGGACTGGATGATAATACCAGCCCTCAAAAGGCACAAGGAGATCAGGTGGGCACTGCCCAGGGGTGAGCATGTCTAACCTGGTGTGATGTCACTCTAGGAAAGGCAGAGATGTCTGTAACCTGGCCTGACTTTTGTCCATCTATCCGCTGTGTGAGCTGGACCATGACCTGGGCTCCACTCCTCTGGGCTCCACTTCCACACCCCGTCCTCTCCTGAAGCATTGCTCATCTACCGTTTCTGCCGAGCCCTTGAAGGGGAAGGAGCAAGGGCCTTCTCATCCTACCATTCCCAAACAGCCACACTCAGAGACTGTGGGGAGGCAGGCCCTCAGCCCTGTGTGGCAGGTTTATGGGATTTCAGACTGGTCTCTCTGTGGGCAGGTGGCCATGCTTGTCAGTATAAATAAATGCTGGCTGTCAGCCTAGGGACCTTCAAATCCACTCTTAACAGAATTCCCCTCAAGGCAGGTGACTGGCAGAGGGATGATGGGTGCAGGAGACAAAATGGCACGGATCACACACTTGTCTGGGAGAGTGGTTCTGTATCCCAGATGCTGTAGGGAGTGGGTGAGCAGCTAAGCCATATGTCAGGATGGGGGTGCTGGCAGTCAAGATGTGGGGATGTGACAAAGGTCATGGGACTCAGGGTGTTGTCTCTTGAGGAGCAGGAAATTCAGAAAACAATGACGGGGTTTTTGGTCCTTCAGGATTCCAGCCCTCTAGTATCAGCACAGCCCTGTGCAGAGAGGACTGGGCAGGCAGAAGGGCAATCACCTGGTGGGCGAGGGGATAATAGGTGCTGGTTCTAGGTAGCATTGGGAAGCACAGATGAGGTGGGGCCTCAAGTGAGATGGGGCCCCGGGTAAGGTAGGATGGGGTAAAAGTAAAGCAGGCTGGAGCAGAAGTGATGTGGAAGGGGCAGAGGCTAGGTGGGCAGAATACAGGGGTGCAGGCGAGGGTCAGAACCCAGCTGAGTCTATGCAAGAGGCAGCTGGGCCGGGCATGGGCTGCCTGAGGATTGCTGCAAACACCTGATCCTTTGCCTTGGACTCGCCATGCTGAGCTGAAACAGCAAAGCAGACAGCACACTTCCACACTGGGAGGAATGAGGCTACTCAAGGCAGTGAAGTCCTTTGTCACCCAGTTCTGGATGGGGCAGTGGTGAAGGTGGCCCAGGCAAAACAACAAAGGAAGGAGGCACCTTCCTTGGCTGGGCACACTGCATGGCAGATGCACCAGACAGACACAAGCCTTCAGTCTCTTGCCATCCTCTGCTGCTTCCTCCTGCTCGTAGAAGTTCTGGCCTTTGCATTTCAAGGATGCCAAGTGCCCATCCCCTGAAGAAGCAGAGCTTGAGGAGGATGCCTCTGTGTTTCCTGCCCCCAGGGTGTGGACTCGTCAGCTTGCAGTTTGGGGGCCCCTTGTTGCCCTGAGAAGATATTAGACAAGAGCACCTTACAGAAGAAAAGATTTCTTTGGCTTGCAGTTTGAGGCTACAGTTCGTCATGCTGAGGAAAACATGGTAGCAGCAGTGTGGACCGCATTCCGTCCACAGTCAGAGAGCAGGGCTCCCCCCACTTTCTCCTCTTTATTCATCCCAGGCCGCTAAGCCAGGGAATGTTGCTGTTCACATGCAGGGTCTGTTTTCTCTTCTCAATTAAACCTTTCTGGAAACACTCTAATGACGTAGCCCAAATGTTGTCATCTTAGTATTCTGAATCCTACTAGGTTGACAACACCAACCATCACAAGTCCACCCCTTGTCTAGTGCATCGCTTTTAAACCTCAGTATTCCACCCTCGGAGCCTCCTGCTCGTTTTCATAAAGGATTTGCAAACTCTTCCCAATTCCAAATTTTCCCCAAGGTATAATAAGCACAAAGTTTCTGCTGAGTCTCAGGCAGTCTCTTAACTGTGAGGCCCTGTGAAATAAATAAAAAAAAAAAATACAAGTTACATTCTTCTAATATGCAGTGGTACAGAATAAGTCCTCCCAGTTCAGAAGTGAGCCCTGGGGCATGGAAAGGAGACTCAGCAGTTCAGAGCAGTCTCTGCTCTTACAGAGGACCACAGTTCAGTTTCCAGCACCCCATCAGGTGATTCACAGTTTGCCTGTCGCATCAGCTCCAGGCGATTGGATGCTCTTTTGGCCCTGTAGGTACCCGCATGCATGTGAAAGCATACACACACACACACACACACACACCACACACACACGTAAAACAAATCTTCAAAACAGGATTAGAGAGGGCACCAAGTAAGACTGAATCAAAGCAAAGCAAAACTGTAACCCGGCAAGATAAACACCAAATCTTGATCCAGCACATGGCATCATCTAGGCTCCAGCAGCCTTGGGTATCCTCCCTCCACTTCTGCTTCCTGCAGCCCACATAGCCTGTCTTTTCTTCCACCCCATACCTGCAGCTCTCCTTAAGAGGCATCTCAGTCCTGGCAGCCTCAGTCTGCAATCTAGGCCCTACCTTCACGACTTCACACGGTGGTCTTTCAAATCTCTTCATTTGAAGAGTATCTGGCCACATCACACCTTGTCTGGCCTCAGCTGCCTTCTAGGACTTCAGTGCCAGCCTCCCAAACGCTGAAACCCTTGTGTCTTGCATGCCCAGCACCAGCACTAAGTTCTGCTTCCGGCTCCAGATGTAGTCTGGCTCCTTTCAACCCCAGCTGTGGCTGCTTGAGTACCAGGGTGGCCTAATCAGAGGAAACGCTCTAGAGGTGATTGTTTGCAAGCAGGAAACCTCAGTGGCACTCACAGGCCAGGCTCCCTCCTCTCAAACGGATTTGCGGATTTGTGGTCTGCAAGCTGGAGCCTTCCATGGGTGGGCTCTTCCCTGTTGTCCTAGTGATGAGCTGAGGTTTCTCTTTAAGGGTGTTACTGTCTTTAACAATGACAGCTGCTTTCCCAACACGGCCTCCCTCCCTCCCTCCCTCACACTCCTTTGCTCACCAGGCTGCACACTTTTTAATATTTTTCTACTCCAGTTTCTGCTTTGTTTTACTGTAGACTTAGGAGAGCAAACAGTGAGCTCCAGCAAACAAATGGGTCTATTACCTTTGAATTCAGCCTCACGCGAGCTTTTGGAACACGGACAGAGCAGCCAGATCCTTGGCCAGAATACCACACACTGGCTGTGTAGTCCAGTTCCCCAGAGAGTCCTTGATCTCCTCTAAAACCTCATGAGCCAGGCCCTCTCAGTTTCTCCCCTCTTTCTGGTCCTCTGAACTCCTACCAGAAAGCTCTATTTACATGGAGAATCCTAGGCCTCTCTAGTTTGGAGCTCTGAGTTCTGACATTCACTTTCCTCTTGCCAGCTCATTCCAAAGGCCCAAGAACACATGGGCAGGTTTAACACACCAGTAGCCCTACTCCTTGGTACCAGTTTTCTGAATCATTTACCTTTTCATTTGGTCTGAAAAAGCAATTGAAGGAAGGAAGGGGCTGAGGGGTGGGGCTCCCAGTGAGAGGGTGTGGTCCTTCAGGGTAGGGAAGGCAGAGCAGGAGCGGTAGGAGCTTGAGGCTGCTGGTCACATTCTTGTCACATTCTGGTCACATCACCTCCATCGCCAGGCAACAGCGAGCAATGAGTGCTGCTTGCTCAGCTCGATTTTTTTTTTTTATTTTTAAAATTCAGTCCTGGATCCCAAGTTGTGGGATAATAGTGGTATCCTCATTCAGGATGAGTTAATTTCCTCTGGAAATACCTTCACAGGCAGGCACATGCTTGTCTTCTTGGCGATTATAAATCCATCAAGGTGACAGTTCAGGACAACATCAAAAAAAGGCTTCCATGTCCGTGTGCATAGGAGATAGTGTAAAAGGGCGAGAGACGGCTCAGAGGTCATGTTGCTCTCCCAGAGGATTCCAGTTCGATTCCCAACAAAGGGCTCACAACCATCTGCAGCTCCACTTGGAGGAAATATTATAAAACCACGGAGAGGAGGGTCCCACATGGAGGGCAAAAGCCAACTGCTGTGTCAGCACTCAGCCCACCAACCACCTCACCTGGCACCCCAGCCCCACTACGCCCAGAGCACGGGCTTCATCCTCACTGTCCCAAGGAAAAGAGGTCAGTTTGCAGCAGATAGGATGGGCCGGGTGTCAGAATCATAATTCAGCTTGCATGGTGCAAACTGAGGCACAGAGAGGGAGTACACCTGCCCGAAGTTACCCAGTGAGTGAGGGGGCCAGCCGGGGTTCACTCCCTGGTCACCCATTCATTCACATACCAGGCACTGCTGCCACCCATCCTGAGTGCCAGTCTCACAGGGGAGTGGGAGTACTGGATGCCACATGTACATCAGAGGTACTGGATACCGCCTGTGGCTCCCGGCCCTGTCACACTTCCACCCTTGTTTTCTCCTGATGACACTATCCTTCCCCCACCCCAAGTCATGTTCAACCTACCAGCCTGCAGAAATGGCTGGCCTCCTGCCACCTCAGGGCCTTTGCACCTGTTGCTGCCTGTGCTGGGGCATTGGCAGGGCTCTTCCTGAGACCTTAGATGGCCGCCTGTGAGAGACCTAGTCTTGTCTAGCCTAGGCCTCCCACCTTCCTGTTTGACTCTTAGCTTTCTTGTTTGTTCTATTGCCCCATGTGCAGTTGGAGCACCAAGAGTGGGCTGGCATGGCTCAGTGGGTAAAGCGTCCTCTCCGCAAGTATGAGGACCTAAGTTCTAATCTCCAGGACTTCACGGGAGAGCCAGGTATGGCAGAGCACTGAGGACATCTGCAATCACAGTGCTGGGGACGGCAGACATCAACAGATCCCTGGAACTCACTGGACTGCAGTCCTACCTAAAGTGGTGAACTCCAGGTTCAGTGAGGGACTCTGTCTCAAAAAATAAGGTGGAGAGATTGATGAAGACACCTGATGTTGACCTTTGGCCGCCACACATATGTGCACATGCATGTTCAAATGCACACACCCACATGAACACACACATATATAACACACACACATACATAAGCTTACACATAGCATGCTGCTGCAGAGCAGGACCTGGCATGCAGCGAGAGCTCAGTGAATAACTGCAGGCAGCTTGGAAAGGCTCAGTGTGGCCCCTGAATGGTTTGTCTGTGGACTTCTCAGTGGCAGACGGAAAAAAATAGAGGCTTCTGAGGGTTGAGGAGGTCTAGACTCCTCTGACTCAACCAGGGTTCCCAAGGCATCAGAGGCAGCTCTTGCTCATACTATTTTCCATTGTAGAGACAGGGGAACTGAGTCTCAGACAGGCCACCATACCCTAAGACCACACCCTAGGTAGACAGGAGCTTGGATCCAGTGGGCCAGGCTCCAAATGTGTCTGCCTCTCACTCTCCCACAGAGGCAATAGGGCTATCCCACAGCCTAAATTGCCAAATTCTAGGATTCCTGGCATGCTGGCCATCAACTCTCTCTGCCACTTGTGTGGTCTCTGGGGTTTGGGCATTAAGCCCCAGTTGCTCCAAGACATCTCTTGTTGCCCTTTAGCAACCAGTCCAGGCATTGGGTGTCCAGGGAAGGGAGATGCTCACCTTTGTCACTAGACAGGTCTCAGGGGTATGGCAGGGAGAAGTCTGGGCCTAGCCGGCAGTCACAAGGTTGCTGCAAGCTGATTCCACGGCCAAATCCTTCAGTGGCTACTTTGAACGGTCTTCCTTGCAGGGTTCCTCAGGGGCGTGGATGAGGCCAGATATCCATGGGTGTGGTCTAAGCCTGTCTCTCTTCTCAGCATTGCCAGCCAGTCCTCCCACCAAGCTTCTCCATCACTATCAGTCAGAAGACTGAGAGGAGAGGGGATCCACCCAGACCACAGGTTCCTCCTCCCAGACCAGTGCTCCGCCGCTGGTTGCTGAGGTGTCCCGATGCCAGGGCGGCAGGTCTGGGTGAGACAAGGTGGAAGGCAGCAGACCAGAGCAGGCTTTGGGAAAGCAGCAACCCAACCAACATTCTACACATTCCAGGCGTCCTTGGTCCGCCCAGCCCAGAAGTGTCTGAGTTGGGTGCCTGCTCCCAGGTAGGAGCTCGAACACAGCCTCCCGCAATCCTCTGTAAATCTGTTTCTTACCCACCAGTGGGACAGGGTGTGGCCTCGCAGAAACCCTGCATCACTGCCCAACCTATCCGTCTGCCTTTGGATCCTGAGGACTTCCAGACCGCTTCCTGCTGGGCCATAGGGAACACATACCCAGAAGTTGCCCTGGGTAGGCGCATTCCCAGAGGTCTCTGAGGATGGTACCCACAATCTCTGCCATCTTTGCTCCTTCTGTGCTTAATTTCCCTGTTTGCTGTCCAGGGATTGGACTCAGCCATCTCTGACCAGCTGGGGCAAGACACAGGACAACACGAGACTGTGCCAACAGGTCTCAGGAACACAAATCATCTCCGAGAAGCACTGGAGGCTGGGAATGTGTCACTGCAGCTCGGAATTCTGGGAAAGGCAAGAATATGCAAAGAAGTGGGCTCCCCACTCTGCATCCATGACATGGGTGGGACTAGCAAGTACCCAGTTTCCTCCAGTCCCGGGGATTGGCTCAGGATAGTACTGCCAGCCAAGATGGAGGGTAATGTGACCACAGGAGCAGTAAGCTACCCATGAGTTCAGATCGGTTTGGAGCCAGAAGAAAGAAGCTGTCACTGAGTTCCAAACAGGCAAGGGGGCCAGACTGAGCTCTGATTGCACCTCAGGCAGAGACACCAGAACATCTGTTTCTATTGGACCAGACCTCCAACAAACAGGGGACCTGCCCATACAACCACAGCCAACAGGGCCCAGCTGTTAGACTCTCCAGACACTCAGAACCCAGGCTCACAGCACAGGCCACACCCACCCTTCAGGAAGCTTAGTCTTGGGATCTTATGAGCCCTGCACCAACACTATGGCTCCTTTCCTCA